ACCCATGTCATTATACAAATTTGTGTCCTCAGAAACCACATAAACATACACACACATATATATATATATATATATATATATAGTCAGACTTTAATTTGGGGACCAATTATGACTATTAATTAACTATTAACTGTTTTTTGCCTCAAACTCCTAATTTGCTGCTTATTAATAGTTAGTAAAGTAATTTAGGTATGGGGTAGGATTAAGGGATCTTAAATAGGGTCATGCAGAATAAGGTTTTATAAGTACTAATAAACAGCCAATATGTTAATAGAATGCATGCTAATAAGCAACTAGTTAATAGTGAGAATTGGTTGCTAACCTAACGTGTTACTATACTTTAACTGAGGAATGAAATGAGCAATGTAATGTTTGAGAAAGGCATAAACATAGGGAAAAGTGACATACATTTTTATAAAATTTTAGGGTCATTTGAGAATGTTATTTTGCCTTATATGTCAGTTAAATATAAATAATATTTTAGGGTTTACTGTAACACTCTAAAAACTTAAAGTAACAAATGAAGCAGAAAGAATGACATTACATGTAAGAAATTGGTCAGTGATTCAGAAATTCAGTCTGATTATTTCATCTTTAAAAACAGGAAAATAAAAGATTATGTTAACTATTTTGGAGGGACAAAGGGGAAAATTTGGCAGTTAAAATACTTTTAGAAAATGTCCTTACTGGTGACTCATTCTGAATTGTCATAATAATGAATTATTATTTATAATATACACACAACCTGAATTCATGTCTCTTCATTTAGACAGGGTCATGTGAAAAAGTGTCACTTCACAGTGTTTTACTAACTCCCCAAGTGCAAATAGCAGCATCATGCTTCAGTCATTTCTCACATTATTTTATGAAGAACATTTCTACATCAGTAAGATATCCCAAAGATATTCATACGGATGCAATTATAAGGTGTTAAGGAGACCAATTGCACAAGGTTGCCATGGAAACACCAGTGGTACACGCAAGAGTGTGCAATTTTACACTCTTCGTTTTTCCTCTTTGTGTGTGTGTGTGTGTGTGTTTGAAGCTATTTTTAACAAGGATTATATAAGCACTCTATGTCACAAGCAGCATGAATCTCCCCTCACTTTGTTGTCTCTATTCTTCAGGTTTGCCTGACCTACGACTAACACTACTGGTTTAATTAAGCAGTTTACTCATGGAAATGAGTTTGCATGAGCATTGAGAATAATAATAAATGTGGTTGGTTGAAGAATATCACATGTCCAAATCTCTGGTTGATGCAACTAAACTTGCATGTGTTATACAGCCCATTCTCAGGAAACAGTGCCATTTATGCCTGAAACTGTCAGAAATGTTGTATGTCTTCATTCTAGTATTGTATTCATTTTGAAAAGATAATTGCTGTACATTCAAGAAATCCTTTTGACAGAATTTTCATTGTTGAACTATTCCTTTAAAGGGTAGAAATGTCACAACATAATACTATTAAACAGAAAGTGATGGACAAATTATATGTTTTCAGAGAAAAGAAATTACATTGAAAACATAATCAAAAGCAAAATTAAGGTGCAAGTCAATATTTTTAATGGCACAGTATAATAGTATAATGGTGATGAATGCAATGCCATTATGTCACATCATGTCATATTAGCGGAAATTACAAATAAATACTTTTACTTAATTTATCAAATAAATGTTTTTTACATTACATAATCAGAAATCAATCTATAAAAAGTTTCAGCATGGTTTTTTTTTTACTTGATTGCAAAATCAGCAGTACATTATGTGAACACAAATAGGCACCATTATAAGAAAATTATCCTGGGAAAGATAACCTAAAATAACCTCAAATAAATGTTTCCCTATCTTAACCTGTCATGTTTCATTCCCAAGCTTAACTGCAGTAGCCATATGTTCTTTTACGACCACTCCTGATCTAACCAGTCACGGCACACATTAAATGAAATTTCATATTGCTGTCAGATAACTGCTGTAATCATCCTCTTCATGTTGAGAAACCATTTTACCTTTAAATGGTCTATTATGAACTGAGCAGCAGCTGTTGTAGTAGGTAACAGTGTGACAGTGCGGAACAGATGGTTTTGTATATTCAGAGAAGTTCTGTTCACTGTAAAAATGAATTAGCATCACTAATGTGAGTGTGTGACAGGAGGGTCAGAGGGCCCATTGATGTCAGAAATGACCCTGCTGGTGTGCTCTTCTATTAGCATGACTTTCCAAAGACCCCTATTCAGTCAAAATCCCTATTAACTCTTCATCTATGTACAGTTTGGAAGCAGTAACAGTAAAGCAAAGCAAGGTATAAAAATACATCAGTTCTCTTTACATTACATTCATCTTGTTTGTATTATATAAGAGGCCCATTTTGCTTCATAAGTTGCAGTCAATCTATGATGAATTATTCATGCATGTGGGGGAGTTGGTGTTGTTTAATGTCTCTGGAAGAAGATAACTAGGCAGAGAACAAAATGAATCAGCAGTGACTTCACTGCACACAGAATATTTCTCACCCTTCAGAAGGAATGTATAAAGTATAGAATTAGGATTTACATGTTAACATTTTAAAAGGGAAATGCTTAAGTGAGAACAGAAATATGTCTTCCCATGTATTTCCAAAATTACTCTAAATGTTGAATTTTGCATTTTTGCAATTTTGCTAACAGACAACATTTTTTCTATTTGTCTGAAAGTGGCACTGCAAATACAAGTCCTAGTACCTTTACTCAAATGTAATAAATGTACATATATTACATATTAAATATATTGTCATATGAAGTAAAAACATATATGAAACCTATTAGAAATTGGAACAATTTCATATAGTAAAGTATATATCCAGCCCATACAATTATGTATGTGTAATAAATTTTTGGATATATGTCATGTACATGTACATCTATCCATGTTGATATTATATAAGTAAATATAAAATATAGACATTGCTTGGAAATGCGGAGCCCCGGTGCATGTTATTGTTGTGGGCCCTGGTTGATCATGTTTCATTGATTTCTGTACTCTGTAACTCCATCTCTTCACAGCATTTCTCATTTGACATAGATAACTGTTAGTGAAATAACACTCTCCTATGATATGAGCTATGTGGGATGTTTCCAATGTAACTGCTTTCACAAGGTTAAAAGGCTTTGGGAGAGTCTAAGGGAGTCATAGAAAAGAATTTCAACTTCAAAGTCTTTGTTCAATGATACATGAATATGCATGATAAGAAAAATGTTTGAACTGTGTGTATGTCCATTAAACTTTGAAGATTTGAGCCCAACCTTGTGTGCATCAGTTCTTCCCATGATCATGCATTCTTTGGTGTGGGTCTGTTTACATGTAATGGGCAATGTATGTCATATATATTACATTTGCATATGGGTAGTTTCCAGTTTTCATTCTGTTGTTTTAATGATTGTTAAAAGTGAAGCTGATCATTGAACATTCAAAAAGAGAAATGTATTTGTTAGTGGCTGTAAGTAATCTCTCCATATTACAGTACAACACTCTCACCGCATGTCATATGACGTGAGTGTGAAGGTGGCTTGTCATGGATGGCCAGCTGATTTCATCTGACTTGATTCTGTCGCAGTGAGGTGTCAAGACACCAAATACATGAGCCTCACCTCTCGGGGAGTTGATAAAGCGCTAAAATATTATCAGTCTGAAGTAGTTTATGTGGCCTTATAACTCCAAAGAATAATGCTTTTCACACTGAATATGTTCAGTGTTCAAATACAGTATTCAAAATGTATGTGTGATTATTTAGCATACATAAAAATCAAAGTAATGATGCTAGAAAGTACCAGTTGCTATAGTGAATTACGACAAAACGTGTAATCTCTCTTTCTCCCCCTACAGGCTGCTTTGAGTGTTGCATCAAGTGTCTGGGTGGTGTCCCCTACGCCTCTTTGGTGGCCACCATCTTGTGCTTTTCGGGTGTGGCTCTGTTCTGCGGCTGTGGGCATGTGGCACTTACGGGCACTGTGACCATGGTGGAAAACCACTTTTCTCGCATCACCTCTGACCATGCTAATCTCACTGATGTGTAAGTGTGTTTGAACAAACAGCCATTAAAATGCACCAAATACCATAAATAATAACTTCCCAATGATAGTTGTTAATTTATTTTGGATTGCTACTGTGAGTTGCTTGAGGTGTGATGATTATTAGAGGCATACTTAGAGAGATGAAAGGGAAAAAAGCTAATTTTGAGTTAAAGGGGTCATATGATGCGATTTCAAGTTTTCCTTTCTATTTGGAGTGTTACAAGCTGATTGTGCATAGATAAGATCCCTGAAGTTGCAAAGACTAAAGTCTCAAAACCAAAGAGATATTCATTATCAAAGTTAAGACTCTGCCACGCCCCCCTAAAACGGCTCGACGACCATTTCGCGAACCTAGGAGAGGAGGTAATTCTGACTTTGCTATGACAATCTGGCGCTTCTGAATCAGCTACTGTTTTGTTATTAGTTTAAGTGTTTGCTATTGACTGTTCAAATACAGAGTTTTGCGCATCGTGTGTGTGTGTGAGCGAGCGAGCGCGAGAGAGAGAGAGAGAGAGACGGGGTCACATCACAGTGGAGTCAGCTGTCTTAACCGTACCAGCTTCATCACTGTGTCTGTCATGCGACTCTGTTCCCCTTTCGGGCTTGAACTGATGGTAAAACTAATGACATTATTTACTGTCTTTACATTTATTTTGAAAGATGAAGCTCACGATTATGATAAGGGGCGTTACATTTCCGATGAGTGCTTGTGGTGTTCGGCCAATCACAATGCACTGGGTCAGCTGGCCAATCAGAGCAGACTGCGCTTGTCAGAAGGAGGGACTTTGTAGAAAACGAAGCGTTTGAAAGAGGCGAGGCATAGAGGACCTACAATAATGTACAGTATTTGAAAAATAATGTGTTTTTTGAACATTAAAGCATGTCAACATATTCTTTTACACCAAATACACCAAATAATGATTTTTTAAAAAGCATCATATGACCCCTTTAATCATTTTCTACCTGTTTGCATACATGTCTATGACATGGACAAGGGATGAGTATGTGGTGAGTAATGACCTCTAGAATGCCAGCAAATAAGTGGCAGTGCTTTCTGTTCCATCATGTCATCTGGAGCTTTACTGGGAAATTACCTTTTATTTCCTGTGTACATCTTACTGTCAGTGGCCCTGTGCCATATACACAGTACCACTGATAAAATCTGCCAAGAGTGCATCTGTATCCTCTACATAAAAGACAAATGAATCACTGCTGCCATTGTTTACAGAGGAGGAACTCTGGTAAATGTGATCTTAAATAAACTATGACTATACTTTGGTATCATTTCATCTAAACTGGTACCTTTTCATGCATGTGAATTTGAAAGGATCAAGAGCCAGAAGAATCAGAAAATCGAAAAATTGGATTATCTTTGTTTTTCCATATAAATATTGAATGATGTTGAAAAATTCATTCCCACCTTACAACTCTCACATCAATATGTTCACTATAGCTAAAAGTTTTATTTTGTTATACAGGGTTCAGATTTTGCAGTACATCATCTATGGAATTGCCTGTTTCTTCTTCCTGTATGGCATCATCCTGTTGGCTGAGGGCTTTTACACAACCAGTGCTGTCAAAGAGATGCACAGCGAGTTCAAGACCACTGTGTGTGGACGCTGCATCAGTGCCATGGTGAGGCCAGAGCGCACATACAAGCATGGACATACAAATACCAACCCAGGCTCATTGGAAAAACATGTCTCTACCAAATGTTATGGCAACACCAAAAACGTACCTACACATACATCAGTTCAAGTTTCCAGCTAAAATGAACACTAGAGGCAGTAAAACACAGACAACTTTTATAACTGTTTAGGATTAAAGTATGATGGTAGATTATTGATTCATAAACACTTATTTTCACACAGTATTATGACTTCCGACACTTTTACCATAATGCGTGATTTGTAAAAACACATTTTGATGTTTGCATCACAAAATCAGCTCCATATGTTTGGTGTATGTTTTGACAGCGTAAACTTTCTCAGAATCTCACCTGGTACAGCATTGTATGCTCAACGAATGCATTTCCTCCCATCCATAAACATTAATGCTAGATTTGGCACATTAACACACATATATGCCCACTATACATACATAGGCCAACCCCAACCCTTGAGGACAGATCTGGCACGATCAGTGCTATATGCCCCAATTGCTTTAATAGCTACAGATGTCCAGTAGCATCCATCTTTTAAGCCTTTAGGCCATATATGCATGTGCCATGTGTAATTCTGGAAAACATATGTGTATGTTCACAAGACTGTGATAATCAAGTGGCAGCACATCTAAGGTGATCTGGCAGTAAATAGGTCATGATTCTGGGTCACATTCATACTGTATGCACTGCAGGATTTACAAACTATGAGATTATTCTAGTCATCATGATATTAGATATATGGATATTGAATGGATATGTGAGCATGAGGGGCTAACTGCCAAAACCTTCTCTCTCCCCCCTTTTTCTTTTTTTTTTTTTTTTAAAGTTTGTGTTCCTCACCCACATTCTGGGCTTGGGATGGCTGGGCATTTTTGGCTTTTCTGCGGTGCCCGTTTTCCTGTTTTATAACATGTGGACCACATGTGGAGCCTTGAAGTCCCCTATTGCCAATCTCACCTCTGTGGACAACATCTGTGTCGATGTGCGGCAGTATGGTAAAAACTTTGACCATCCTTAATCGTGAATCAGTGGATAATACTTGGTTATATTTAGTTGTAAATCAACATCACTTTAGTGTAAGGAGTGAGTTATTCTAATGGAATGTAGCTGTTGAGATGAATATGTCAGTGCTAACTAGTGTACACTTCCTGTTACAAATACAATCAGATCTTTCCTTTTCTGGCATTCACTCAAATCCCTACCAGTGGGAAAATGAATGTGTATATATATTTAATAATCTGTAATTAGCCATTGCTTTAGTAGTCCTCATATAACGTTTTACTTTAGATTAATGTATGTAATGCATGTAATCATTTTCAGGAATCATCCCATGGAACGCTACTCCTGGTAAAGCCTGTGGCTCCACGCTAAGCGACATCTGCAATACTAGTGAGGTAAAGATACCTCATCTGTCCCTGAAGATCACCACATATGCACTGACAGGAAGATCTTTTCTTTTTCATGTTCATATACCTGTAAAGCCTGACACATGAAATCATCGTTTTTTAATGGATCTTTTTTAATGGAACAGTTTATTGAAACTTTAGACAATATCTAAAAAGAAAAGGCTTGCATGTGTTTATGTTGAGCTTTTATGGCTCATATGGTATGATACACTGAGAATATAGAGGGGGGGAACAGCTCAATTTAGAAGCCAAAAAGCAAAAATATGCAATTTGGTGCTTATGCTAATATTTAAATAGTCAAAAAGTGAGATGAAATTCTGATTGCTTGTAATGTAAATCAATTAGATCTTTACAACAGTATAGCAGTCACAGATTATTTTCATTAAAAGATATAAATATCAGACGTCACTCTATATGCTAAATCCAATAATATGTCTGAAAGAAGATATTTAAATGCTTAGGTTTTTTTGCTCTGTAGTTTCAAAACATATAATGCAATGCAATACAATAATGATTAAACATTCCTCAAAAGCCCGATGGATAATATTTGATACATTTGAACAACAAAAATGTTGCTTCACTTCAATAAATGTCCATCTTGAAATATTACAAACATATCAAAGTAATTCCTATGTTTACTTTATAAAAATCAGTAAAGATTTCACATGCAAAAATAAAAAAAAACTGTGAACCACGACCTGCAGGTGAATGTTTGTACAATTATCAATTATCAATTAGACAACAGAAGGCATGTAGTAGATTGTTTTTCAAGAGGTTTGACAGCAAATTTTGATCATGCCCTCTGTGTATCAATTATGATACAGTAGGCTTTTAGGGTTAAAGACAGACTTTTAAGGAATGTTAACTTGTTTCAATCTTGACAGACCAGAGCAATGTAAAACATGTTTATTTTTCGCCTTTAGAAAATATACTTTTTTTTAAGTATGACAGGTACATTTTATTTTGAATGAGTAATATATTACATTTTTGTGAGGCAAGGTGTGTAGCTCTGTGTTAGTTATGTTTAATGGATTTCCTAAACTCTTTTCATTACAGTTCTATCTGTCCTACCATCTTTATATTGTTGCCTGTGCTGGAGCTGGAGCCACTGTGATCGCACTGGTAAGAGTTCATGATGTTCATTTGTTCACTTGTTCATTTCGTACTTGCTTTCTTAGCTATTTCATATCTAGAATATTTTTCACTGATGTTGAAAATTAGCTTAGGAAAGAATTGCTCTATGAAAAGAAATCGGTACAATATAATGCTATATTCTTAAATCCTGTCATCTGTTTAGAATCTTTATAGGCACAGATTGAACAACTGTACTTTCTGTTTTCGAGAGATGTGGTGCAACTTCTGTTGTAAAGTTGCTATTGTAAAAACTGGTCTCACCCACTGGTTTGTCTCTCTTCCATTCAGCTCATCTATGTGATGGCCACAACCTATAACTTTGCAGTGTTGAAGTTTAAGAGCTACGACCACAGTCACACCACTAAGTTTTGAGCTTTTGTTGATCTCAGAGACAGAGAGAGAAAGTGATAGAGAGGGAGGAGGATGAACTGAGTGAGTGAAAGAGGTCAGGAAATAGGCAAAGGAGAGAAATAAATTAGTTCATAGCACAGGCCTTAATGCATAAACAGTGTAGTGCATATTAACTGTATTGTCTAATGTTCAAATAATTTGTATATTTGTGTTTCTGTACTAATTTGACGAGGTGTGATCACTTAACAAAACAAGGACAATACATCATACTCATTTCTATCTAGGTACAAATTCATAATAAAGTACAGCACCGATGACCAATCCAGAATAATGTAGCTTATTTACAGTTGATCAGAAAATGACTTTAGTAGTGAGAATGTAACTCTCTGACAGTCCAACAACGCCTAATGGACAGGATTAAAACTAGAAAATAGTACTATTTTTGGTAATGATTGATGTCTCTCCATTGGATCATATCCACCCTGAGGCACCCGTAGTCCAGAATCCAGTCAGATAGAAAAAGCAAGTCAAGTACAGTAGATGAGAAGGGCATAGTTATTGCTGTTTTGAAAGAAATTAGGAATGTTGTGTTTATGCTTACTTTTACTCCATGCTACATGTACCTGTGAAGGGTGTGACTGTACTTTTTAACTCCTTATGAGATGTTTTGGAGTCATAGAATTGACTCTAAAAATGCCATTGTCTTTCAGAGCCTTTGTTTTTAGATTCATCCGACTACTATTTAGTTTAATATTATGTTTAATATTGAATTCAGACAGCATATAGTTTTTGCCTTTTGTATTATTCTCAAAGCAGTATAGTTCCTGTTTTCAGAAATAATCCGAAATAAAAAAAAATTTGTGGAGAAGTTCATTTCTCTTTATTTAATAGTTTTTCGTTTTTACATTATCAGTAGTTTTTACTTCATCTTTTATTTGCTAATTTATGAAATAACCAGAATTCATGTGATGCCAGATACACTGAAAAAAGTACAACGACCATGTCATTTATTTCAAGTGTATTTTTATCTTGTTCTAATCGGAAATCAAAAAACCTGTTTTGTTCAGTTTGTCTGAAACCAAATAACACCTGCGTAGAAAAAAAATGAAAATAAACAATTTTTGTATAAACAGTATTTTTCTTGACAGCAAGGGTATTTTAGTATCATTGAGATACTATTGTAGTTTTTAATTAATACTTGGATTAGTTTTTATTTTTTAATATTTTCTGTATTTTAGTTAGTTTTAGTGATTTTGTTTTGTTTTTCTTAGTTGTTATTGTCCTTTTGTTTTGGTTTCTTGTTTTTTTTCTTAGTTTTTCCTTAAATATGTCTATGTAGTTTGTATTTCAGTTAATTTGATTTCAGTTTTAGTTAAGTACATCAAGAAAAACTAAATGAAAATGAGAAATATTGCCCTATGGCAACTAGCTGAAATAAAAAAAATTAAGGTTATATATATATATATATATAATATACTAGGAGTGTAATGGTACACGATACAGTGTTTCAACCACGGAAACACGTGAATAAAACAGCTTGTAAACAAAATGTTCCGTAGCATTTCATTTACCTCAGGCAAGTCATCAGTGTCCACAGCTCGTTAGTGCACTATAAATGAAGTCTAGAGAAGAGCATTTCGTGAAATATTAGACTATATACTCATTATATTTTACTTTACCTGTTAGTGATGTCTTAATTATTGAATTTATGTTTAAATAAATCTGTTAGGAATCAAGTTATAACAGCCACTGTGTAAATGAATATTTCAACAACAAATAAAAATTGTACAATTTAGAAGTTAATTTAAAAACTGCATTATGTGCAATTTACATGTTTGCATACATTTATTTTTTGTACAATTGAGTGTTAATTATTATATTTAAAAAATAAATAGTAATTAAATTTAAGTTTGGGCTCTGTTGTTAATTGTAACCTTATAGTAACGTAAAAGAGCTCCCTATAGTTTAGAGCATAAACTGAGGTAGATTTTTATCCCTAAGAAAATTGTAATTATAATTGAATTTATTTAAAGAAAGAGCCATTTACATTTTGTTTTATTAAACCACTGTTTAATAAAAGTAAAGCAATTTTATGTTTAGTTTTTTCCCCCTGCTATACCGAAACCATACCAAACCGTGACGTCAAAACCGAGGTACGAACCGAACCGTCATGTTTGTGTACCGTTACACCACTAATATATACACATATAATTTCAGTTCAAGTTTAAGTCACAAAAGTTTATAATAGAACATATGATGCATATTTTTAAAAGACATCACAATAAAATAAATATTATATTATACCTTAGATATACAGTAAACCATATACAGTATATTATTTTTTCAAAATGTAATATATATAAATAAATATAATTTCTTATTAATAAATAATATAAAGTTGGTCCATTTTTTTCAATGTATTCCAATCAACTAATATTGATTTCTGTGTAGTGCAGGTATAACAATTCACAGAGATTTAGTTACTTTAGTGATTCAAATGAATAACTAATTAATACTGTCTTAACTCTTATAGCTGGCTTTGGCTAACTAACCCACTCATGACTAATCCTTCCCTCCAACTGTTTCTTCCTCTGTCTTTCTCCCTCTCTGTCTATTTTGTCTGTCTCCTCCCCTTCTCTACCGTCCACAGATCCACTACCTGATGATCCTGGCAGCAAACTGGGCCTATCTCAAGGGACTGTGTCAGCAGACTCATGCCTACCAGGACATCAAAACCAGAGATGATCAAGAGCTACAGGATGTGCAGTCACGCTCCAAGGAGGGTCTAAACTCCTCCTACTCATAAACAGTTCTCCCAATTCTGATCTACCCCACCTCTATCTAACCTACTCTAGACCACACCAAAACAGACATACACACACACACACACACACACCTGTCACCCTCAAATGAAACACTACGCAAACTAACACTGCTAAGCACTGCGCTATCCTGACTATACATCATAATAGTGGTATAAGTTGGTTATAATCATGATGAAACATGTCAGACAAGTTATTGAACATCTGTAACAAATGATGAGTGGAATCATGCATTAATGGTGATATGATGTGTTTTACTCGTCTACTTCATGGTACAAATTACCACTGGTATAAAAGTGTATGTATTCTAGTATTGTACTGTCATTTTGCAAGTATTTTTGAATTGGTAGAAAGTGTATGTACAGTGTAGAGTCATGGTTATAACTAGGTTATGTTTGGTTTTATGATGCATTGTCTTGGGAAAGCGCTGCTTACATAACAGACTGTCTGCACTAACTCCTCACAGACATTTTGCAGGAACTTCCTTTTTTTGGTGTTTTATACATACTGTATATAAATATATATATAAATGTGTGAAAGTGAATGAATGTTGTTTTTTTGTTTTGGTTTGTTTTTCATTATGGGTGCCAGGTTGTGTGTTGAAAATGTCTGTTTATCTAGAACCTTTCTCTGGTCTCTATGGCTATCTTAGATTTCTGAATTCACCACTTTTCTCAATTCTCTTTCTTAATTTATTTTTTTGGAGGGGGTGGGGGACAATACCGGTTATTGACAAATTGCACTACTCTTGTAATAGAAAGCAGGTATATTAACACACACACACACACACACACATACACACACATGCACATACAGTGGAGGGACGTTTAAAAAAATGTTTTCTCAAAGCTGCCAAGTATCATCAAGTACTCAACCTTCAAAATTATATTCTGAAAACAGTATCTGACCAATATAATTCTGACTGGCAGAATAATTTAGATGTTTGTTTAATTAATGAAAAAAAATAATAATACTAAATTATTTACTAATAATAATGTCTAACAGAAACTACCCTCACAGCTATACAGATTATATGCTTTCCTTCAGTTTTGTTGATTAATCTAGGTATTTTTCAGTCTTTAAGAATTTGTTCTTATGGCAAGATGTTTACCATGAGTTTAAGGAGATGATTGTGACTTATTGCTATGTGGACGTGAAACTCTGAAAATGGTTTGAATTTACAGTCAAATAATGCAGCCTTGTTTTTGCAGTGTATCTTTTTCCTAACTGGTCTCTCTCTCTCTCTATTACTACTTTTACAATATGACTTTTTAATAATCTGTCTTTTAACTAAAATTATTATTTTCTGTAATGTCTCTGTAAATATAAGCATGTTAGTATTGTCCACATATACAATTGTTTAATAGCAGTTATATGCCACTTCTTGCTGTATGCTCAATTCTGTTAAAGGGAGCTTACAGGGATGTGTAAGATGTTGATCTATTACCCCGTTTTTGAAAAAGAAGATGTGTGCCTGGATGTTCTATTGTTCCCTGATTATTGCATGAAGGAGAGATATTTCATTTTGTTTTGAAGTACTGTAAGTGATGTGTAGTCCATTGTTCTAATGAACTACAATTGACCCACCTCTCCCCCGAAAAAACAAACCACTGTTTGTTAGAGGAAATTGTACTCTTAGATGTTTCATAGTCGATTTTAAGTCAGATGTTTTATGAATCCTGTATAGTGATTTTTGTAACCTTCTCTAGTAAAATATTTTCTATGATCTATATGATGAACTGTTTTGTGTGTATTATTATTTTTTTTTAAAGCACCTGTGCAAGAGTTTCATTTTCATATCTTGGCAATGCTGACTTATAACTGCTCTACATTGCAAGGTGACCATCATCATTTCTAAGTCCTTCTCCAGTTTGTGCATTTGACATTTGTTTTCTAGTTGCGCCACCTGGTGTAGGAATGAGAACATGGCGCCATTTATTTATTTATTTATGCTAAATTTCTACAAACCTGTTCCCATGAACAAACTCATCTACTTCTTTTCAGCAAATTTATCTTTGCATTGCACCACAATAAAATGTTGGTTAGTTTAACTATAAATAAAAACATATTGAAGAGGAAAATCAATAATCAAATACTTTTAATTCAGAAATATTTCAATTGTTTAATACACACAAATGTAGCAAACTTGGATTAGCATGCAGGATTATTATAAGAATCATTTTGTGACACTGAAATTATGTCCATGTAAAATAAAATGATCCCTCAAATGTCTTACTCAGGTTTTATATTCTAGCATATTTTAAAAAATGTATTGTTACCCCTGTTAAGGGATCCAAAGCCTGTTGAAATTAAAGTGGTAATTAATACAAAATATATTTACAAATATGCTACACAATCACACTTCATGACTCAAAGACATTCCAAAGAATATCTTATAATGCAAGACTGTTAAATAAGACAAACAAATAAACCAGTGCTAAAGGCACTTAAAGTAGCACAACATCAGGAAATGACATAAAACACATTTGAATATCTTCTAGTGTTCATGAGTGTAACAGCTGATTTTTATTTCTCAACTGTAAACAGCATTAGAACTAGTATGAGTGCTAAAGGATCTCAGTGATCCCTGTTTGGGCAACCTAAAGCACACAAGAATGTGATCCAGTGCTTTGAAACAAAGGCATAGGAATGTGACCCAAAGAGATTATTTTAAAGTTTAAACAAGGCATATAATTCTATAAGACTCTTCATTTATAATTACTGTTCAGAGCAAGTGTTTGAGATGTTGTAACTCATTATGTACTAAAGTATGCATACTGCACACAAGATGTTTGTCTGGCATCTGCTGTGGAGAACTGATGAGTATGCATTTTTTTCACTAACATATACAGTAAAGTAGAGTGTTTCAGTTGTGTTCATATCATTCCACAGCATCAACAGCATGAGCCGCTCGCCCGTGGCTTCCTGCGCAAGTCAACAGTGTCTGTGGGCAGCAGGTGTTCTGCGCGATCTTCAGATGAAAGCACACGTCTAACTGCTTCCTCAAATGCAGCTGAGACATTAGTGGCATCCTTTGCGCTTGTTTCAAAGTATGGATATCCACCATTCTCTTGACACCACCTTTGAGCTTCTTCCATTGGCACCTGATGCTCCGTCACATCTACTTTGTTTCCTAGAACAACAAACGGAAATTTCTCTGGGTCCCTGACATCTGCGTAGTATGCAAACTCTTTCTTCCAGTTGTTGAGGTTCAAGAAACTTTGATTATCCTCCACACTAAACGTAAGCAGACAGCAGTCAGAGCCACGGTAAAAGGGCGTTCGGAGACTTCTGAACCTCTCCTGGCCTGCTGTGTCCCAGATCTGTAGAGTGACCATGTGACCATCCACCTCCAGCTCTCTGTTTAAGAACTCGACACCGATCGTGTGGAATAGATGTGAATCAAACTTGTTGGAGACATACCGGTTCATGAGGGAGGACTTTCCCACACCACCATCCCCCAGTAGAATCACCTTCAGCAAAGATGACTTGGTGGTCATGATCAAGAACTTTCATAGGTTACAGACCTGAAATGAAAATCAGAATTAGCAAGCTTTGAAAGGCACGACTATTCACTTTGAAGTGAACTAAATGTAGGCCACTGAAAAGTGTTAAAGTAGGATTTTTGTGAGAGGTGAGGTAAGAGAGGCTGGTTCTAGAAAATATGCCTTGTGGTGATTTTCAGAGTAACCTATACTAGCCTAAAATATATTTTAATGCCAGTGTGACTTAAAATCAGCATGGCTCAGGTCAAAGTTACTGGTATCTTTACAATGGAGTTCTGATACACCCTTTGGCCCCAAACATTGTTTGTCACAGAGTAATATTTCTGTTTAGTTATGTCCTGTGACAGGAATCCATTCATTGGAGCCGGAAGCGCCGATCATGTGAGACACATCAGATTGCCCTGTCCTCATAACTTAACATATGAAAATAAATAATAAAACTCACAATGTAAGCAATCACTGTGTAATTAAAGTCACCTATAACATTTTCACTACAGAATCACACGAGACTGACATCGAACCAGTCTGAACATGTTTAAGAACTGTAGGAAATAATAGATTTACGATGTAAAGCTAGATGAAATGTAAGCCTGGGCTGCTATTTTATAGCAAACATTTAACCAGACAGCGCTGTTCATGACTTAAATTTTCAGCAGAAAACATATTGGAGTACGACGTAGGCTGAAGTCGATGGCGAAGTAAATCAATGACAAGCTAAACAACTGTGACAATGCGACTGTTTTCTCGTCAATAAGCAAATCGTCAAAGGTAAATGTAATGCTGTAGCAAGACATGGCTTCAGTGGCGGCATTCCACTCAATCGCATGAATGACTTCAAACCGCCAATTTCTACACATTGAATAATGTACCTTTTAATGCCAGTGTGACTTAAAATCAGCATGGCTCAGGTCAAAGTTACTGGTATCTTTACAATGGAGTTCTGATACACCCTTTGGCCCCAAACATTGTTCGTCACAGAGTAATATTTCTGTTTAGTTATGTCCTGTGACAGGAATCCATTCATTGGAGCCGGAAGCGCCGATCATGTGAGACACATCAGATTGCCCTGTCCTCATAACTTAACATATGAAAATAAATAATAAAACTCACAATGTAAGCAATCACTGTGTAATTAAAGTCACCTATAACATTTTCACTACAGAATCACACGAGACTGACATCGAACCAGTCTGAACATGTTTAAGAACTGTAGGAAATAATAGATTTACGATGTAAAGCTAGATGAAATGTAAGCCTGGGCTGCTATTTTATAGCAAACATTTAACCAGACAGCGCTGTTCATGACTTAAATTTTCAGCAGAAAACATATTGGAGTACGACGTAGGCTGAAGTCGATGGCGAAGTAAATCAATGACAAGCTAAACAACTGTGACAATGCGACTGTTTTCTCGTCAATAAGCAAATCGTCAAAGGTAAATGTAATGCTGTAGCAAGACATGGCTTCAGTGGCGGCATTCCACTCAATCGCATGAATGACTTCAAACCGCCAATTTCTACACATTGAATAATGTACATTTAAAACATTTGTTGCGCGAGGAACAGACCGCTAGTTTAAGAATAATACATTACCGTTGAGATTTCCGCAACGAGTATCGAAGTGCTGTGCCAGCAGCGCCATTCCTTAAAGTACAAGCATCTCCACCGTATGTAGCGCGTCCAAGACATGGCGCCCTGGGCTGGACGAACAGCTACTGAAGCTCATATGACCCAGTAGGCTACTCATATATTAGACATGTAACGTGAAATTAGGTCAATAAAACAACACTGAAATGAATGAAGTTTCATAACTGAGGTCAGCCTGATACAGAAAACAATGGCTGAAAGGTTCATTGTAAATTAAATATGTTCTCTTTTAAGTGCCTTTGCCCTTAATATTTGGTTGGCATTTGATATTAATTATTAACCGTCTCTGACTGACGACAGTATTATTCAGCGAGCCACTAACCAAATGTTTTCCCTCCTAGTTGCCCAAATTCTCTTGTGTACACATTATATCAGCATGTCATTACATCATAAAGCTTAGAGCTTGTTAAAACTTGTGCAAAAGGACATAATGTAATCTTAAAGATTACAATAATGTTTGCCTCATCATGGAATATCTCAAACATGGAATGTTGCAATGAACAGCTATACAGGTACCATAGTAATAAAACAGTTGAAGTGATTTTTTTGTAGGCTCTAACTTGACTGAAAGCACTAGGCTAAATCAAACATAATGTTCAAGATGAGGTTAAACCTGTAATTATTCTAAACATACCAAGAGTTAATTCTGGCTAACAACAACATGACCTATATAAAATATATTTTCCCATGTGGACCTTTCCACATTGAAGGCCTGTCTTTTTCATTACAAACGTGTTCATGCTCAACATTGTTGAGTGAGATATCTGAGTGCATAAAATACATTCTTTGGACCCTATCTTGGGCAAACTATCAGGTCACATGTTCTCTGCATGTAGCACACTTTCTGTCACATGTTTGCTGAGCCTAGGCACAAGATCACATTTGACTCATGCTGCATGAGTTGTGCTTCCCCATTTTTGGGTGATCTGAAAGTAACATTACTGGTTCTCATGCATTCGTTTAGTTTAAACTTTGGTCATAGTCATAAATAGAGTAGCAAAAACCAAACTCATGATCTCTGAAAGCAATGTCAGAGGAAGTGAATTTAGAAATTACCATACAATAGTTATTATCATATTACGAGTCACAGATTAAGTACACTTTAGTAAGAGATGGAGTAGTTGAGAAATTCTTTAACAAATTATGATGTATGAAGTTTATGTATTTAGTAAATATATTATTGCAACATATATTCATAAGAACTTTTTTCAGCATTTGAATATAATATTTTATGAAATTTGTAAAGACATATAATCTGAATTACCAGTATCAACGCCATCAAAACCAATGGATTTAATTAAATTGCTTTAAACTTGACGTAACTCACACATTTATGAAATCTACATAATATTTTTCTAAGAAGACAACATCATAAATATTACTCTAGATTTATTCTAGAACAAGATACATTTAATTGAATAAATGTTCACTTTCAGATGTAAAAGATGATACATCTTTTATGCAATGGTTCATTAATAGGCGTGCATATTCATGTTTAATCAACAATATTCAGTCCCAAAAGTGTGCTTGTAAGATATGGAAAAGAGGCTAAATATATATATATGAAAAGTATTTTTGATAATCT